AAGCAGATCATCTAAAGCAGGTTATACAGTTAAATTCAATGTCTGAGAAAAAAAAAACTGGTCTAGAGCTGCAGAGATTTCTCTCTTGCTGGATGAATTAACTGTTAATGTAAGAATGGGATCATACACACACTCCTCAACCCCACTGTTTAATTCAAGCATTAAATTGTGGAAAGATCTACATCCTGAATCCACCACATGGTTGTCACACACAGATTAAAATATAGTTTCAAGGAAAAAAAGTAGGAATTAAAACTTCCAACTGAGTAATAACAGAACTAAAGTGTCAGAAGGGACAGCCAGCATTTACACAAAGTGCAAACTAGTTATTTACCTAAACACAACCAGTCTGTTTTCTGGGGTAACACTGTGATTCATCCCCACACAAAACAGCAGCTGGCTAAAAATCCTTACCAGATTTGATGTCACTGAGGGCATCTTTGTGTGTGGCACCCGAGGTAACAGTGCTGGCAGAGGATCCACCTGCAAAGGGCTTCTGGCATCTGCTCGGAGCGTTTCTATTTTTATGATATTCTTCTCATCATCTGTGCAAAGCAGCAGAGAATTCCTGTCAATGTTGGCATTGCTAGTCATGGACAGTGCTATGAATCAAAATTTTTTTAGCGTTCCCTTGGATGATAAGCTCTGGTAAGTGTTTTGAAGACGTGTTTCACAGTTAGCAAAATAATCTTTTTATTCCTACAGAAGAGATCATTCCCAAATACATCTCCCTCCCATGGCATCTTTGCAAAAATAGCTGAAATCCCCCTCCTGAGCCCTCCCTTTAAATGTGATCCTTACCAGAGGCTGACCCTTCCCAGTGCCTGCAGATCAATTCTTCCATGCAAACCAGGACTTCACTCCAGACATCATCAAATATAAATGTCAGCACGGAATCCTTCATGTAGGAATAGGGAGAGACAGGGGGAAACCCCAATTTCCGTCTGCCAGAGGATAGTCCCATTTTCCTCTTGTGCAACTCCTCTTCCCTGTAACAAAGTAAGTATTACCTGCACCAGAAACACACTGTGTCCTGCATTTACTTTTAGTTTTCCCACTGACCTCGGTGAGAAATGACCCACCCTGGCCTCCCTACACAGAATGATTATAAATCATACTCCATGAACAGTAATTCACCCATGAGATCAAATTCACATCAAAAAAATCAGTATTAATTGTTACAGTGATACTTCTTCATCACATTGTTAGGCTCCATATCTAATGACAGGACAGAATCCTGAAGGCAAGAGAGTGATATTATTTGCTGCAGCAATGTCTCTCTAGCCTGGTAAAACCAAGAAACATAACAGTTTAAATTTAATGGTCCATGCAGATAAGTGGCTTTAATTATTAAAACCAATTAAGTACTCAGGAACTGACAGTACTCTCCAGAGTCCTTACCCAGGCCATATGTTCATACTGTAGGATTGAGTAATGTAAAGGGGTAAAAAGATAAAAATAGTGGTAATTGTTTCTTGAGAGGCATAAAATGCAAAGGTACAATTCCACCCAAAATGCCATTACAAAACAGAAGCAGCACATTGCTGTTGCATAACTAACAGCACTGAATTTGACATAGTATAAAAAAGAAATGGTGCTTAAAAACCATTATTTGTATTATTGTATGTGTTATTAAATACACAGACTCTTGGTTATGATGGAATGAATTATTCAAACCAAGCAGAAAAATGGACAGTATGAAAAATTATCAAAATATTCCTAAACATGATTTAGTGAAAGAAATGGTCCTAGGAAATAGGTTGGGAAAATTCCCAGTACCTGGGAAACCTCAGGCCTTTGAAAGCTCTCTAGAGAAAAGATAAATAAATTCATCAAGAATGTGTATCTTGACTGCAGGAACCCCAGAACACTATTTTAATATTCAATACCTACACATCTCTGTGGTCAAATGCCAAGTATTCCTCCAGTATGCCTTCAGAGAGAATGACTTCCTCTTCCCCTTCATCGCTCTCTGAGCAACACGAGGTCGGAGGCTTGGAAGGGTTGGCCTTTTTGTGAGCAGGAGCAACAAAAAGAGGCATCTTCTTGCCCAAAACACTAAATCTGAACAGGTGACTGTTTTCAGGAAGCAGAAATAAAGGTAAGTTGTTATTCCACCTCAGATAACTGAGAGACAGCACGGTTGTTAAGAGCAAGCAGTAGCAAGGCCAAAAAATTATTCATTACAGTAACAACTTTTGGTTTGAATATTTTTTAATTCTTGCTAAGGAACCTGAAACTTCAGGGAGAAAATACCCAAAGCTGATTAAAAAGCATTCTAAAACATTAAATAATAAAAGCAGCGCTAACATAGTGCTTTGCATTTTTTAAGGCCTAGGCAAATTTAACAGATGATTAATAATAAAACCAGCTTCAGTACACACATATTCTTAAGAAATCAGCAGCAGCAAAGATATTTCTATTTACTGGCCACTTCACTGTAGTCAGCAAAAGCACAGCTACATGTTCTTGCTATTCTAAGTATACTAAATTCAGTTAAAAAGGAAAAAAAAGTGTGCTTTGTTCAAAACTCAGCCTAACAGGAAGGCTGCACACTTCAAGAAGCAGAGAACAAACCTGCCTTCCCACCTTGTCACGATCCAGGCTCACTGCTGGTACTTACTCATCAGAATCCTTTTCTTGTGATGAACTTACATCTGAGGGAGCCAAACTGCCTGAGGCAGAACTCGAGTACCACCCATAGCCTTCATCTGTGGGGATCACCACCTGCTTCCCCACCACCCTGCCATGGCAAAAGCAAAGCATAAATACAGCAGAAAACCTTGGCAGTACGATTATTCAAGGGTGTAAGAACAGCAGCACAGCCCAAAAGTTCTCTGGGAAGCTGTGCAGTTTTCCTGGTGACACTTTGAGTTTCCTAAGAGAATTCTGCTCTGTTAAAGCCAAGTCAGTCGCAGATAGCAACAAACCTCTGTCAAGGAACCACATGTGAGGTAAGAGGATGTTCACTAGTGACAGGCAGGCACATCACCACAGTGATTTTTTTATCTCTACCCGCTGCATAACTGCACAAACCCACCCTGCCACTTGTTTTAAAAGAAACTGTGTGCATGCCCAGGCAGGTTGTGAAGGTACCAGCATCAGTCCATTAATAAAATACCTGAGATGAGGAAAGCTGGAGGACCACTGGTGGCATTCCTCTAGCAGTCCCTCAACATGAACGTTTTCTTTCTGCTCATACAGAAGCTCATCAATTTGTCGGAACATCTGCTGAACTTGTTGTGTGGCAGCTTTGTCAAATTCCTAGAGAGGAATGAAAATACCTCGTGAACAGCATTTGCAGGGTTTTTTTTTTTTAAATTGATCTTTTAAAATAGGATTGAAAAAACACAACTATTTGTTTAAAGCTTAGCAGGATTGCATAAGAAGATTTCAACTTTAAATCATTTTCTCCCAGAGATGATGCAGCCTGCTCTTAAGGTGGATGGCAGCCACACAAAAAGCTTACATTGACACAGTAGAAAAAAACTAGTAAAGCATTTTGAAATACCCATATTATTATATTAAGCTACAAGACTTAAAGAAATCAGAACAGGAAGGATAAAATTCAGTGATATTTTAATGCAATGGAGGATTTGTTGCTTCCAGAGTCCACAAACAACAGCAACACAAAAAGCAATGCAGGCAGGCTGGTGGGAAACACTGAACCTGAACGATGGTCAGGTCCTTGGTTACATGTAGATAAAAAATTTGGGTCAGTTCTGGGATCATTTAAATCTAAACAGCTCCATCTCACCTTCCAGAAGGCAACAGCACACTTGACTTTGAGAATATGAGAATAAATAAAACATTTCTAAATGAAAATAATGTTTTAGGAGCTTACTGTATTTTGAGAAACATGCAAGGATGCAGAAGTTTGATAAACTCACACCAAGCAGCTGAAAGTCATCCAGCCAGAATAACAGCATTTATAGATACACTCGTGCACTAAATGATTTGCATTTCCAAAATTTTTAGTGGAAATGCAGAATATTAACAGAACAGTACGAGCCTCGTATGTTTTGAACTGAAAGATGGAAAGAGGTAAAAGAGATGTTCTTTCTATAGTCACTACCATGATTTTTTGACAGATGCAGTCATTTTTATTCTGACATGTCTTTGCAGTGGTATTTCAAGTGTCTTTCTGTGCTAGATTTGGCTCGGATGATTATGTTCTACTCACGTCATAGCCCCAAGAGAAGACTGAGCTGTCTTCTGTGGAGGTGTCAGCACAACCCTGACTAGCAGTCCGTGGATCCCCATGATCATCCGATTCCTTATGGATTCCCGACTCCCTGAAACGCGCAGGTCGAGCCAAAAAAAAAATAAAAGCAAAACAGCCCACAATGAAAAATTACAGATCAAGTGTGTCAGTAAACAAAGATCAGAACAGCTGGATCAGATATGTCATGACAAGTACCTGGGGTTCTGGCCAAGGTTTTCAGCCGTGGGTGTGGCTGAGCACACCTGAGCCCGTGGCTCTGGCAGTGGGTGATTCCTCAAGGCATGTTTTGGGAGTCCTTGCCTGAAAAAACAGAAGTGGAACTTGGTGTTACTTACAAGAATAAACATTTACGGAGTTCCCAATGAGTTTTATAGGTTTTTCTTTCCTGCTTCTCAAGGACTGTGCACACATTTATTATTGCAAAGCTAATTCTTGTCGCCAAAGCTTTAAGGTGTCAAAACTAACTCTAGGATAAATAGGGAATTAAAGGTCTTGGCTCTAAAATCAGTTAAATTTAAGCTTCAGATGTTATGAAATGGGCTACAGTTCCCTAGAAGCAGAGGCAACTCCATTATCTATGTATATTAATAAAATTTAATTAAATTAAATAGAACAGGAGTAAACGAGCCAAGTAAATCAGAACTGACCCAACTCTTGGGTCAGGGGGGAAAAAAGCCAGTTACAGGGATTTAACCGCGTTCTGTCACACCGGTGTCTGGCCGGGACCGGTGCTCAGCAATCCCGGGAATCCCAGGAACCCTCTCCCGTGGGGGACATGCGGTGAGCGGGCCGTCACGGGGCCCTGTTTGGTGCCGGGGGGAGCGCGGGCGGTGGGGCCGGGNAACCGGGAGCGTGTGAGGGACTCCCGGGAACTGGGAGCGTGTGAGGGGCACCCGGCGGCCCGGTACCGGGTGCTTGTGAGGGACTCCCGGGAACTGGGAGCGTGTGAGGGGCACCCGGCGGCCCGGTACCGGGTGCTTGTGAGGGGGATCCAGCGGCCGGAACCGGGAGCGTGTGAGGGGCACCTGGCGGGACCCCGTGAGGGAGGCCGAGGGTGTGTGAGGGGGGACCCGGCGGCTTCAGGGACTCACAGTGTCACAGCGTGGGTCAGGCTAGAAGGGACCCCAGTGAAGCATCTGGCGCCACCTCCCTGCTATGGCAGGGTCATCCCAGAGCACACGATACAAGACTTTGTCAGCAGGGCCTGGAATATCCCCAGTGAGGGAAACTCCACAGTCTATGTGGACAGTGTGTGGTTACTGAGCCGCCTCTTGTCTCTCTGCCCCGTCCAGGCGAGACCCCGGCGCACATCGGCGGCACCACCCTGTTCGGGGATAACGTGGAGGATGAGTGGTTTATTGTGTACCTGGTCCGGGAGATCACCAGGGAGTTCCCGGGGCTGGCAGCCAGGTAAGGCAGATCCTGCTGAGGTGCTTTTTTGGGAGGGGTGCAAAGGGGTATTGCCTATGCTCTGAAGGTGTTGTCTTAATAGTCCCCATCCTTGGAGCGGTTTCCCCATCCCATACATGTTTGAAGTGTCCAAGGCCAGGTTGGATGGGGCTTGGGGCAGCCTGGGCTAGTGGAAGGTGTGCCTGCCTATGCCAGGAGGGGTAGAAGCAGATGACCTTTAAGGTCCCTTCTAACCTAAGCCTTTCTGGGCTTCTGTGAATGTTAAAAAAAAAAAAACAAACCAGCAGATGTGGATTCAGAAGTGTGTTGTGCTCTGCAAGGCTTTTCCTTCTAAGAAACTAATTTCTTCTTGGCCAGGATTGATGACAATGATGGAGAGTTTCTCTTGATAGAAGCAGCTGATTTTCTCCCCAAATGGCTGAATCCTGAGAACAGTGAAAACAGGGTGAGTAAAACTTCTGTACAGTTGGCAAAGGGGCCACAGTAGCCTTTTATGTAGCAGCTAAAGTTTTCTCTTGCACCTCTAGCCAGGTGGACTGCCTCTGAAAACCCAGAGTGCTTGTCTGTCCCTTAGTGTTGTTCCCTTCAGGAGCATTCCTGTATCCACCTGAACTTTATAGCTCTGCTAGAACCACTTGGATATTTTTATTTATTTTTAACATATTCTGGAGTGTTTAAGCAAGAGGATTTGCTACCATCAGAGTAGGGAATGCTCAGGGTTGGAGTGTTGCTATGTCTGTAAGGACACAGGCTTTGTCTGGTATAGGTGAAATAATGAGCAGACACCTTCACCTGGATATGGATGGTTGCTAGTACGTCACTGGCAATGGAGTAGAATGGAAATAATTAACTTAGTCATTAGCAAAAAATTGTTTGATTATTTTTCCCCTTAATCCAAGATTCCTGAAAGGATTGGAACACTACACAAAAATTGATTGCAAGTGTGTACCTGGACTATCAGGCTCATCTTTTCCTTTTGTTTGAGGGAAAACACAGAGTGAGGGAGTTGAGGACATTGCATTCAGGGCTTTTCTTAGGATCAGGAACCAGCAGAGGTCACATGTAGCACCTGAAATAATGCTTTATAATCCCTGTGATGTTCTGAAGTAGTTAGGTTATGATGATTCTCCTGAAGCACTGCTCTAGTTGAAGAGAAACTTGGTATTATTGTTCTTAAGGAAACAAGATATATTTGACGAAACTTGCAGTTAAAATAGGGGTTTTTACTGGTTGGATCATGGTATCTGGCATCTCGAATAACTTTTTTAAAAAAAAATCTATACTGTTTCCTGTATTGGCTCTCTATTTGTACTCTATATTCTAAATGAATGCATTTGTATATGAAATGAAATTTTCCATCGCTCTGTGTGTGACTGTTCTGATGAGAGCATTCCTGTCTGCCAGGTGTTCTTTTACAAAGGAGAGCTGCACATCATTCCACTGTTGGAGACTTCAGAGCAGGACTGGGACCTCCCTGCTCCCTGCCCCACCATCCCACAGGCGTTGGCATTGTTATCCACCCGCTCTGAGGAGTTCCTGGCTGCAGAGCCCATCAGAGCTGCGCTGTATAAACGCATCGAGGGGTATGTGGGGGCTTTATTTCGGTCCTCTGCAACAGTGGGGTTTGGTTCTGTGCTCTCTGGGGTTTAAACATTTCCCCAGTAGGTGTGTTCTATCTTTTAGGAGCCCTGTGCAGGAGGAAAAAGAGTGTTTGACCTAAAATGTAGAACTAGCAGAATTGTCAGAGCTTCAGCTTGTCACAGCTGTGTCCATCCCTGTACTTTATTTTTTGCAAGGATTTGACTGTGTAACTTTTACAGAGTATGGTGAAGAATACTGCCTAGCTGCTTGTGTTGGTTAAGTTCACAGGGACTCATCTTACCCATGTGGGGGATTCAATTTTATTAGCCATGTACATTTATATAAATGAATTATAGAAACACACATTCTAGGCATTAGATTGGCCAAGTTTTGACTCCAGAATAATCTTCTGACCCGTGATACAGGTAAATATTAAAGTGAAAATGAGCCTCATGGTAGAAAAGGAGTGGTTTAGTTTGCAGTACACTTCCTACTCTCTGTTGCTGTTCAGCTATCCCGAGAAGATCCAGGCCTCTCTGCACCGAGCCCACTGCTTCCTCCCGGCCGGAATCGTGGCCGTGCTGAGGCAGCGCCCGTCCCTGGTGGCTGCGGCCGTCCAGGCCTTCTACCTGCGGGATCCGGGCGATTTACGGGCCTGCCGGCGCCCTTTCAGAACCTTCCCTGCCGACCAGCGAGTGATGACCCTGGTAAGTGCTCTCTAAAGCCTCTGATGACCCTGATAAGTGTTCTTCTAAAACCTGTGATGACCGTGAGAAGTGCTCTTCTGAAGCCTTGTCACTTAATTCCCTTCTGTAACTGACAAGGGTTCTGTGGCCAATGGTATAAACACATAGATTTGATTTAAAACTGCGGGTTTTATGTTGTTTTTGGTTTTTTTTTTCCCCCGTCTTGCTCCAGGGATGAATTTCCAGGTCATTTCATTAGCAGCTTCTCTGGATCGATGTGGCTGGACTTTCAAAGGGCTGATCGTGAGAGAATTGTTTCTGAAAGCAGAGGTTGTGTGTGATAGTTGTTCCTCTGCAGAAATGCCTGCTAGGTAAATTGATCTCCTTGTGTGATCAGAGCAGTTTGACAGCACTGCCAGCCCAGTGACCAGTGGTTCATTCCAAGGCTTTTCACCTTCTCAGCTGTGCTCACACAGCTCTGTGAAAGCTTTTATTGTTTCATGAGCACTGTCCAAGCACTGTTGTATCTGATGCACTATGTTACAGAGTTGCCGCACTAGACTTCTGAAAAGAAGCTTCAGAGCCAAATTTTGGACTTCTAAACTGTTTCCAAAATCTCAACTTTTAATCAAATTTAATTTTAATTGAAAATACACCTTGTTGATGTGAATACAGAATATTGAGGATTTTTCCTAATGTATTTAGACTGATGAAAGTTCATATTTACTTAGGTATTTCAATTTGGAACATACTTTGTAAAGCCTGAAAAGCTGTTTATCAGAAAAAAAATCTATCAAAGATCTATTTTGAATGCAGTCTCAGTTATTGCCTGTAACATGTGTGCCTTCAAACAGGCTTTAGTGAGCTTGGTGGGAGTGTCCACAACACAGTCACACTGCAGGGAGTGGGTTTTTTTCTGCTCTGACTGTTTCAGGTGACTTTCACTCGGTGTTTGTACGCACAGCTGGTGCAGCAGAAGTTTGTTCCAGACAGACGCAGTGGGTACACCCTGCCCACCCCATCTCATCCTCAGTACAGAGCCTACGAGCTGGGCATGAAACTGGTAATGATTTTTGATGCATTTTGTACTTGGTTTATGTATGTCCAGGAAATGAGTCGTTGTCAGGAAGTTGTCTTCTTGTCCAGGAAAATGTGGGCAAAGTCTGTCACACCTTTGAGAACCTCTTCTTGTTGAATCTTTTATATCCAGGCTCATGGCTTTGAAATTTTGTGCTCCAAGAGCAGTAAAGTAGCTCCTGATGCCAAGAGAAATGTGTTAAGTGGTCCTCTGTGGGAGAGGTTCCTCAGGAGCTTGAAGGAAAAGGATTATTTCAAGGTGAGGCAGTGTGTCCGTGGCTTTTAAACATTCCAGGGAAAATATATTTTAGCTCTTGAACTTGTGTAAGGACTTGCAGCAGGGTAAGAACTTGAATCCTTATCTCTGTGTAAAATGAATTAGTGTCTTTAAAGGGGGCATGTGCAGTTTGTTCCCCTTTGAAAGTAATTTATTTTGGAAATTAAAAATGAAAAAGCACGTTTTGGGCGTCGATTCATTCATCTAGAAAAAGAGGAGAAATACACTTGAATGGAGAAAATCACCATATGATTGTGTGAGTTGTAACTGATTTCATTGGTTTGCATTTAATTTCCACACCTCTAGAATGAAATATTCTTCAAGATCCATACATAACACCACAGATCTGTTTGGGGCCATGCAAGTGTAATTTTTATGTGTGTGTGGTTTTTGTGAGTTCTTGGGGTTTTGGTGAGGTTTTGTGGGGCTTTTTTAAAGGGTGCCTTTGACTAATTATTTGAAGTCAATAAATTGGACATAAATTGACTTTTTATTTGAAGGTTATGAAATTGGACAACTCTATTGAAATTCTTAGGTTAGTATCAAATATAGGAACATTCATGCTATATTCAGTTCCAAGTGTACAT